CCCAGGACAGAGGAGAGAACAGGAAGAGGAAATATAAGAAAATTGAGGAGTCAAGGTTGACTCAAGACAGTTGAGTAAGTAAAGGAGGGGGGAAACAATCCTATGAGGAACGGGAAAACAATCCTATCTTGTGCCTCAAGATAATGACTCACTATTTCTCACAAGAGAAGTCTCCAAGCAATGACCAACATGAAAGAAAAAAAACCCCATCATTTTCTTCTTCCTCTACCCTGGTTTTTATTGCTGAGCATAATGTTGTACAGCATGGAGCAATTCTGGTCAATTTAGGTCAGCTGATCTGTTGGGTCCTCTCCCAACTTCTTGAACAGGTCCAGCCTATTCCTACTCACTGGAGTGGAGGAGGAGCAGAACAGCCAGGAAAAAGCAAAAGCCTTATGGCAAYAGCCACACAATTACTGTCTTACCAACACCACCTTAGCCACAAACCCAAAACTCAGCACCAAAGTGCTCTGATGAAGCATTAGCTTYATCCCAGCCAGAACCAGTACATCAGAACCAGGAAATGAAAATAGCAAAGTCCCATTCTGGCAGAGGAATGATTAGACTGGAACTAATRAAAAATACTCCCAAACAAAATCACACATGCTCTTGACAACTGGGTGCAGTACAAAGCCTTCAGAAAACAAGTGATCCAGCAAGTGCAGCCTTAGTACGTGCTCCAAAAGTGCTTCCAGCAGGCCTGCACACAATTTTCAGAAACAGGGAGCTAAATAATATTACTCAGCCCAAGACTGTGTTTGGGAACTCAGCAAAGTTTTTCACTCGACAAGCATGATTTTTTATGCCTTCCTGATGGCCAAGCATGGTTGTTTTTCTGTTTTMTTTTCTTTTATGCTTTATATAACCAGAGTTATGGAGTGGTTGGGTGTGTTTAATTCTGATAAGGTTTGGAAACATTTGTCAGTTTAACAGATACCCACACAGGGACTGCCTTATGTGAAGAAACTAATTTTTGACATTGGATGGAGTGGTAAGGAGGAGTAAAATAGCACCTTCCCTCCTACCTCTTGGAGAGCAGGGAAGGCAAGGCTGCTTGCAGAGGGAATGGTCCACAGCACCTGCTGCAGCACCTGGTCTGTGCTCACTCTTTTATTGGGGTGTTTTCCTGGGATGCTCACGCTGCCCTTTTCCACAACTCTCTGGCATGCCCACAGCTATTCCCCCCTCCACACTCCCCAGTGTTTTTTTACAGTCTCTGAATCTCTAATTATATTCACTGGCTTGACACAAACTGAGCTGTGCAAGGCTTTCTGGAAAAGAGCAGTTATTTTATGCTTTCATATTCCCTTGTACAAAGAGCAAGAGCAGCACGCAATCTGGAAGACATATACTGAAGAGAGAGGAGTTTGTCATTTCAATAGTCAATGGGATGTTTTGGCTGTACCTGAAGATCAACATTTACAGAAAATAGATGTGTAAATTGCTTTTTATATGGTTCTTCAGAGGTTGTTTTCAGAAGATTATTTATTATTCCAGATGCCTARGTAGTCAAGGATACTGACTGACTGGAGAGAGTTCAGAGCATAACAGGAAAAATGATCACTAAGTGCAGATGTTCCGATTTATTTTTTTAAAAAGTGATAAAAAGATTAAAGGGATAAAATACAGCTTGAGGCTAGACTAAGTGATAAGCTGGCAAGTACACAGGCCTTTCCAAATATGAGTAAACACCATGAATAAAACAATTAGACATGGAAGTAAACCATTTATTTATGGTCACCATAGGGTAAACAACGACATACAACTCAGAGCCACAAATTATTTTTCTACAAGTCAAACTAATGAAAAAATATTTTACATTAAATCTTCTATCAGACATTTCTGCACAGACCTACTCAACAGAAAGGCAGAAGATGTAGAGCTTGGACAGAACAGAGGATAAGCTTCTGCTGTTATGCAAAAACCAAARTTTTCTTCTTGAGGTGTCTGTTTCTGTACCATATTTTCTTTTTTTATAGCAAAAAAAATGGCACAATGCTCATTATTTACTTAGTCATAAGCTTAAAAATATGCTGGCTGTCTTCATGTCATAGGAAATTTCCTGACAACTTCAGTGTGCTCTTTCCCAATGGCAGAGCAACAGAGAGAACCTAAGAGCCAAGAGTCAGGAAGTCTGGCTGTGTACTGCCTGTGGGAACAGGACATTTCCATGTCCCCACTAGGACACTGGCACTGCTCGTGGCCCCTATTTCCTCACAGAACAGAGCACAACTACACCTTTATAACCAGGCATCTCCACCCAGAGGAAGGCTGCAAAACACTCAGCTTACTCATTAGTTCAGAAATCATTTCATGATTTATTACGTATCTATACTGGAGCAGAACCCGGGATAAAGATTTTGCTGAGCCTGGTGCTCCATAAATAGGGGACAAATGGAAGTCTCTGTTCATTTACGACCTCAACAATTAAACAAGGGATGACAAGCAGCAGACACAAAAAGGACTACAGAGGCTTGTTAGAAAAGGCCATTCTGGTCACACAAGACAAATTAACAGCTGCTACCTCCTATAGGGATCTTATATCAGGGTTTTCACTCTATAGCTCTTCCTTGTTTTCTTTCTTTAGCTTGTCACCATTTTGATCTACCACTTTGCTTTGCAGTCTACATAAATTCACCCAAGCATTAGCTAATCTTTGCTGACTTTGTTGCTCCTAAGGTCATGCAGTTTGAAATTGTTTGGTTACACCTCATCAAATATACCAGTTACTGCTGGTTTAGGRTAGTTTTCATGCACAACTGCTGAAYGYCACTCTCATTTTCTCCARGGGTGATGGAAATCTTTTGCACTTGAGTGCTYCTGTCACTCTGCTGAGGTGTACCATGAATTCAAAAGAGACAAAACTACTGGATAAAACTGAAACAACAGGACCATACCTTTGTTTTCCTAGGTTGGCAATTACCTCAAATAGAAAATAAGTCAGGAGCTACTTGTATTATTTCTAGTAWAAGATTGCATATTAAGGAATTAAAAGACATTAAGGCTGTAAAGTGAGTGAATCCTAAGCTAGGAAATGTCAGAGGAAAGTAATTAATGTCATTCTATGCATGCACTGTATTTCAGTCTTTAGTGATCAAACCATTGCAAGGGGATGACAGAACACCACAATGGCCCTGAACCCTCCAGCGAAAACAGAGATATTCTCATGCCTTTTTTCCCCCACGAGCAACTTAATGATGGATCTTTCCACATGATTAGCACTTTGTTGAGAGTACTGATTACTTAGTTACCTGTTATTTCCTTTTATCCTTCTTCAAGGGATTCCAGGTCTTATTTCTACACATCATGTAAAACTTGCACTGAATATGCATAGATTTATTTGTCTACTAATAAAATCCCTACAAYTATTTCAAACTATCCCAATATTTGATCATGTTGAAAGTATCACAGAAATTATATTTCACCTACTCAGGAGAGTAGAAGTAGTATATTTTACCTACGGGAAAGGAAATATTATAGGGACTTGCTTCAAACTACTGAATGCCCACCAATTCTGCCAAACTGTGAYACAGAAATTCTAGTTTATTCAGTAGTTATACTTTTCTTTTACCTATTTTTAAATTATAGGAAGTTTATATAAGCTTTGATATATTCAAAACACAGTTTCYATCAAAGTGAATATAAAGAGAAAGCATTGAAAGCTTCTGCAAATCTAATCTCATGTGTGTATCAAAATAAAGAATATGAAGTTAGGTGATCATCAGTGAGATTTTTAGATGGTTCTTTTTCAGATGATCTGTCCTGCAATTATCTTGGTGGGAGAAGAGTGACAAATGTAGAACTGGGATGTAGTYTGTCACCTTGGAATTGCCACACTCATCTTTTATCTTCCTGCAAGCTSAAATCAACACTCCAATACTCTTATAGCTGGCTTGATCACCACACACGATTTCACCACTGAGCATAGGGYTGCATGCAGTGGTGGCAGAGAAATCATACCTTGAAAAAGAATAATGCCTTAACACAGAACTAGAAAAGGAGTAACACCTGCCAGAAACAGATTAAGGTCYTAGTGCCTTAACCCGTCAGCTGTTCACTGACTTCACAATCACATACTGGTAAGAATGCTTAAAAATTAATGAAATTATGTATTTTTCTGAACAGATACCATTAACAAAATAACATTTATTACAACTCAATAAACAGTAACTAAAGACAAATCAGCTTTAAACAAGAACGTATTATGGAAAATGTATTTCTTTACGTTTCAAAAATGCCAATTTTTTTTTTTTTTTTAACGGGTGGTTCTAGGGTACTGATGGCTGATGGCATTTTGCTTCTTTAAAATCTTTATTTATAGAAAATGAATGGTTACTTGAAGACTGTTGGGAAGGAACGGAATGGTATCCAAAATACCAGTGCCAGCGGGTAGGTAAGGCTTTGGCCTGGCCAGTTCCACCACTCCCCAGAGGCCGCCAGCCTGAAGCCCGACGGGACCCGCTGGGGAGGGACTGAGGAGGGCCCACTCCTGGCAGCCATTCAACAACAAATTCCCCAGACGCGATTCCTCTGACCGTCTGTGCCGAATCCGACAGAAAGACAACGCTCTGTAAAGCTCTGCCTGGAGCGGCCCAGGCCTCACAGCGCCCCTGGTCTCTCTCTCCACGGCGGCGCTTGTTCCTGTCTGCGGCCACCGGCCTCGCGCCCAGGCAGCGCCGCGCGCCGTAGCCAATAGGAACCCGCGGCCAGCGCTGCTCCTTCCTTGCAGCCAATGRGATTCCGCGGCCGGCCGCTGTTGCCAGGTAGAACAGCGACCTCGCCCCACTCCCGGCCTGGCTCCCAAAGCCAACGCCTTGGAGGCGGGGCCATCGAGCGCTCATCAACCCCAGCAGCCAATCAAAATATAGCCCGCCCAACGCGCGCTTACATTGGCTGAAGCCTCGAAAGTGATGTGAGCAGGAGCCAATCGCAGGCGGCGAGCGGGGCGGTGGCGCGCGTTTTGAACCAGCGCGGGGCGGGGGGGCCCGGCTGTGCTGAGGGGAGAGCGGAGCCAGTGCGGGGCGCCCGCCGGCGGGAGCGGCTCCGCACCATGGACCGGGATGCGAGGCTTAAGGAGGGGCTGCGGCGGAGCAAGGCTCGCTTCGTGGACACCATGAACAGCATCCTGGAGCGGGTGAGCTCTTGGGCCGGGGTGGCCGCAGGCCCCGATCCCCGTCCTGAGGCGGGCGGGGAAGCGTGGCCGTCTGTGCTGAGCCACGCCGTCTTGTGCCTTGGCAGGAGCGAGTGTGCACTCTGCAGCCTGAAAAAGGAGGGGGAGGGATGCACCACCACAGCAAGCTAGCAAGAGCCAGACTACATGCATAAAACGGAAAGCTAGGACTGCCAGTGTTGGATAAGCAACTTAATCACAAGCCTGAGTCGACTTGTGCTCGGCTAGCTTGCGTTAGATGCGGGATTTGCGATGAAACCGCAGAGAATGGGAGACTCCCTCCGTGAATCCTCCCCCCTTGAGAGCCGTTTTGTGTTAAGGGTGTGCGAATGCTCCTGGTCCGCGCAGAGATGCACGGTGTTTATTGTGGGGCTCAGGCTTTCCTGCTCAGGAGATGTTTTGTGCTGCCATTTTGCTTAGGCCCGCTTGTGAAACTTTTTCCTGCCTAGTGTTAGATTGGATATTTTTTAATGTCGTGAGCTGTTGGTCTTTGGTGGGGGCTCCTTTTAGTTACAAAAGAGGACGTTTGGGTGAAATTGTGAGACAGCGATTTAACTGCTTTTGAAAGCTCTGCAGCCCTGTTTTGGCACTGGCTGGCTTATGCCTCGCCATTGAATGGCTTGCCCATGTGCTTAAAATACACCGCTTTYCTCTAGGAGTTAATATTTCCAGATTGTGGTCTTCTAGCTTAAGCCAAGAAATACTGATAATTTAATTTTTTTGATAAAACAAAATTGTCCTAAAAACAATAGGCAAAACACCTGTTAAAAACATTATTTTGATCGTTTAATATTTAATGTTTCTTTTTATTTAGTATAATCATCCTTTTGAAGATGACTTTCTTGTTTCTATGGATACTCTCACTTATGATACACCTGATGGTAAGAAYTTTTTAAATCTACAATATTTACATGCTGTATATTTAGACTTAGAAAAGCATGCAAGTGTTGACAGMTGTAGAACTTTTAAGTGCAACAGATAATAAGTTTTGTTCATTGAAGTAGGACAGTTCATATGAAAACCTTGGTATTATATCGAGGGTTTACTCCTATGCGCAGTTTTAATCTATTGCATGCTACATTTTAGACAAGAGAGTTATTAGCAAAGTTGAGGATAAAAACGGGTAATGTTTGGGTGACTTGTAAGAAGAATCAAAATGGAGATGACTGAGAAAGAAGCAAAGGAAGGAGATAGTAGCAGAAGTTGATATGCATGGATGGATTGTGTAATTTCGCCTCCACCTGGTATTCGGAATACTGCTCTGACAAGTTTCCATTATGGCAAACATCAGAGTGGACAAAGGAGATGGTCTATTTATTTTTCATTGAATGTTCCCATGTGGGTAGCATGAATCTAAACATGTGGGTCCATGACAATATTTACCCAGGCTTTCAGTGTAGTGGTTGATCCATTATAGAGCAGTAATGCTTATGGAAAGCTTATTGAGGAAAAAAGCTATTGTTTTAAAATATATTGCTCAGGGTTTCAGGGGACTTGTGACTTACTATCTTGGTGGCTTTACTGGGAAATGGAATGTTCTGCCAGGTYTTATTATTACTGAAGTGAGGATTATGATGCATAAATTACCATATCCGTTCTTGTAACTTACTGGACATACACAAGAAGTACCAGCTGTGCACCAAAGGTTTTGGCAGAACTGGCAAGCTTATATTTTATAGACGTTGTACATTGGGAGAGGGAGGAAACATTCGTACAGTACTGTRATAGACAGCTTCGGATTTGTAAAGGCTTGGTTATGTTTTTGGTGTAATAACCTCTATTCATAATGGAATGAATATGGATCTCTGTCCTGTGGAGCCTTAATTATGGCATTAACTAACCTCAGATACCAAATAGTCTGCATTCATTAAATAAAATCTAAAAACTAAAAGTATTTGCTTTTTTTTTCCCTTCCTAGTAGCATATGARACTGTAATGCTCTTTGGATTTTAGCTCAGTTGTGTTAGACTCAGCATGTGATTATTTTTTTTTTGCTTTTCCTGACTTCTCAATTAACTTCAATTACCATATTCTTGGTTTGTTTTCCTCTAAATTTTTATTTCAGCAATTTGGTGGAGACTGTTCAGATTTCATAATGCTTGGTTATTCTATAATGTCTTCTTCACAAGTATTGATGTTTGCTAAAATTATGTTCCGTATAGATGGTGTTACAAGAAAAACTGTGTTAATATTGTTACTTTTTGTTATTTCTAGGACCAAAACGATGGGGGCAAGTGTCAAGGAAAGATGTTAAAAAATACACTGAAATGTTTAAGGTATTTAATAATACAGTCCTACTATGCAGTCAAAAGATAGCAATATTTCTTTATGTATGTATAGATAGGATTATATTCTAATCTTGCTATGYCATATATTTTAAGAGGTATTAATGAGCTCAATATCTGCTTTAAAATAGGGTTTTAACATCGTTTAAGATTTTCAGATGTGATAAGCTAAAATAGATGGCCATTTATCAGTGGTTATCACCACTTGTAAATCAGGAAAAAAAATTCCTGTCAGTTGGGAACATGTATTTTTTGAACACATCAGAAAGTTTTCAGTGAAGTTAATGCATTCAGTCAATTTATCTTGGTTCAGGTAATTAGCTCTTCTACTCCACAGGGCTTTCTGTTTCATGTTTAGGTTTTTTTTTTTGTTTTTTTCCTGTTGAACAATGCTAAAGTAATTAAAGAATCTTTGCAGTCTCACGACTTAATGTGTCAGGTAAAGCCATTGCCTGTATGCTGTGCCTCCGTAGCTTATACAGAACCTGTTCTGAACCCCACAGAGTGAGGGGATGAGGAATGAAATTCAGTCAGAGGGGACAAGAGTGGATTTAATGGAGATGAAAAAGAGGCTGTATTTATGATTCCCTTTCCTTTCCACTCCTGGTAATAGCTCGTGAGCAATCTACTAAGCATTGCTKCACAAGTTTCCTGACTAAATCCATTAAGGACTGTAAGAGAAATTCTCTTAGCCTSTTGTGTGGGTCAAGGTATGTACTTGGAGTGATTTAAGTAGCAACAATATGAGAAAAAGTGAATGATCATGTTAGTTTTACTAGATGCTTGTGGCTTTTCTGGTCAGGGCGTGGGAAACCTGTGGAAATTGAATGGTTATGTAGTTGTGGGCTATACCAAAATAAATAAAGGTAATAGTTAAAATAATTTCACTATTCTAAGATTATTCTGACTTTCTTTTTTATTGCAGCATAATAGACAAAGTCAAAGGAATACAGGTAAAGTGTTAATTCCTGGCTATAAGTTATCTTATCCAAAGAGACTAAATAGAARATATTCAGGTTCATGCTAAACTCTTTAGGATACTCACTGGGTTTTTTATGAGGAAACATCTAATAAATCAGCAATACTTATGTTCCTAAGGATTCAGAAACGTAATTTAAAATCTTCAAGATGAGTAAATACATAATGATTGATGGTGCTATCATAACATTGATTAAAATAAGCTCCCTTATCACCCSCCTGTAAGCTAATCAAAGAGATTTTTTTCTGTTTTGGTCAGTTTTGTCAGATGATCATTGAATCTAAAAATTCCAACCCTGACTTGCATGGAACTAGTGGAGAAATATGAATGTTGTTCGCTTTTTGAAAATTACTAGATAAGTAGGCATATTAAAAAATGTGTRCTAAAAGGATCTCATCAAGTTGCATAATGAGCTATCAAAAATTTAGCAGGTCATTCAGTATACTCAGTAACTCAGGCTGCCTTCAGGATAAAGTAGCATWCAGTTGCTTCATGAGAAATCAGTTTTCAGGATAGAAATCAGAACAAGTCTGCACACCAAAGTGCAAATGTGCTGCTACTTAGGGGGTGTGTGACATCTGAACATTTTTCTGAAAAGGAGCTGTTTGTTCCCATAAAATATTTATTTCTAGTGGGATAAATGATGGGGGGAAATTTTCCGGTATAGTGAAGGCATGTTGGGCTTTATTCTCTCAAGGTTTTGAAATGGGGGTTTTTTGGTGGTGTTTTATGACATTGGTCTGAGAAATTTTTGTACTGAACGTCGGAGGACAAAACACTGCCTAGCACCTTTTTTCTTCTACAACACTGGCAAAAAATTTATCAATACAGTGGTCAGGTACAGACTTTGAATTAGCCTAAGAAATTTAAATGTAGAGCTGGAAAATAAAGGTCTGGTACAAAAAGTTTCAGATGGTCCAGACCTTTGCCTCTAATTGCTCCATTCAGCTGAGGGGCTCAAGTAGTACAAAAAATTTGGCTACAGTATGGCAAAACTTAAAAAGAAAGGTTTTTTTTAAAATATATTGTCTTTTAGAAGAAAGCTTTTGCTAATCTAATTTAGGGTCTGAATGTCTTAGAAGCTCTTAAAAAAAAGGAGTTTATTTGAAGTTCTTTAATGCTACAAAGTCATGATCTCATTAATTTTAAATTAGTGTACTTTATTACAGATGGCATAGAGAAGTAGAAAAATGGATAACGCAAATTTTTCCAAATTCTAATATAACTTGAGAGAAGTCTTTATTGTTTAATTTTATTTTCAGTTATCCATAGAAATATTTCACTAAATGTTAAAGTTGGGTGAACAGCTTTTCTTATAAGACAGCAAGCCTGCATAGATTTGTATTTATACATGTATATTTGCATATTCCATTATAAAATAGAATCTCACAGATTTTATTCAGTTTAAGAAAATCATATCTTGCACTGACTTTTTTTTTTATTTGAAGCATAAAGGCACATGAGTTAACATTTGAACTGTGTCGTTATGGCTGCTGTTACCCTTAAAAACCAAAACCCCCGCATACCTAAATTCCTCAACCAACCAACTAAAAAAATACTTCTGATTATATGTTATTAGCGCTAGTGAACATAAAAATTTACTTATTCATGTTTTATACTCATAAGTGTGCCTACTAAATGTTTTCAATTAAGATACATAAAGCTTTGTGGTATTAAGTGTCAATATTAAACATTAAACCAAATACTTATTAATGAACCTCTCCGCATGGAGTACAACTTGTGTTGTTTTTTCCAACTCACAGTTCTGAATTTCGCAAGACTCAAGTTTTACAATTTGGATATTATGTCCAGCACCCTCATCAAGTTTGATTAAAATGACAATCCTTTAAGTGGTGGGCTTCTTTTAAATATGGCAGCTCTCAATAAGAGAGGACCAGGTACATTAAATTTCAATCTCCAAGAGTGAGAGGTGATATTTCTGTTTTTTATTAGCCATGTAAAATGTTTTCTTTTCTTGAGTTTTTTTTTTAAATAAAACATCCTTTGTGGTGTTTCTTAGACCCTGCTCAGTAAGGAAATTCAACTGGAGACTAWTATGTTATTCTAATTTCCTGTGTTCCCAATCCAGATATGTTTGGGAATGCATTATTCAGCTTCTT